ATTGAACTTGCAAAATTTCCCGAACTTTTCACAGATCTCCCGAATTCATTTTTGTTGAGAATAAGCGCAGTGGCCAGTTTTCGTGGTGAAATTTCGAGAGTTCGTTGCTTGTGTCCTCCAGTGGTCACTGTACTCGCTCTTACCAAAAACAAAAAAGCACGAAACCTCGAGAGTTCGTTGTTTATCCTCCAAGCTAAAAAACAACAAAACTTCCTTCGAACACGTGAAACCTTAAGAGTTCGTTGCCTGTGTTCTTCAGTGGTCGCTGTGCTCGCTATTTTCGAAAATAAACACGCGAAACCTTGGAAGTTCGTTGATTGTATTCACCAGTGGTCACTGTACTCGCTCTTACCAAAAACAAAAACGCACGAAACCTCGAGAGTTCGTTGTTTATCCTCCAAGCTAAAAAACAACAAAACTTCCTTCGAATCTCCTCAGAAGCTTGAAAACAGCCACCGTAACTACTAACCAATTTCACGAGCTCCCTATATTTCTTCCACCGACTATACGATCGCTAGAATTCGAGTCGCCGTAACTCTGTGAAACATTCGACCGCGATAATGGTATTTGGGGAGGAACCAGCGATGGGAGAGCGATCCGACGTGTGCATCGGCCCGCCTACGGGTAATTAGGAAGCAGTGGGCGCGGTACGGAGCTCCTTCGATCGGCTAGATAAAGGCGCGGTAAAAACCGCCGGCAAAAACCGACAGAGGCGGATAAGGAGGGACGATAAAGGGTCGCGAAGGGAGGGGAAAATCGTCGAGGAGACCAATGCACTCCACGTCTCTGGAGGCCCGTATCACTGATTCATCGAACCGTAGTAACCAGAGGAGAAAGCAGGTCCAACGAGCAATATAAATATCCCGGACGATATATCAAAGTTTGGAAATGGGAGAAGTAGTAAGTCGATCTCGAGCGGAGGAGAAGGCTCCTGGTGTATTCGTAATTTCGCTGATGTATATGGATCAAAGTTGCAATGTTGGTACGCGGATGGAGCGACCGGAAAATTCGTCGAAGAATAGAAGAACACGGTAGGAAAATGTACAGCCTGTCGAATAAAAATTCGCAATCAAAGCTCGACAATGGATCTAATCTTCTCTATCGTTGATTATCTCTTAACAACTTTTGCACATGCTTCGACTAACCTCCTCGAGGTACAATACACGCTGCTGACCAAAAGTTTCGAACTACACACATCGACAGCTCCGCAGAAAATTTCCAAGAAACTTTTAACGAATTTTTTTCTCAGACGAACCTAATTCCGAATCCGTAGAAAATTAGCAACAGATTCCGTATTAACACTAGGTTTACGGACATTTCTTATGTACCTGTCTCGACGTCAAATTGACCGAAACCGCACATTTTCCTTAGAGAAACAACTTATTTCTACTAACTACTAACTTCTAAACGAAGCTACGTGATATTATATATTTAAATAAAATGTATATAACAAGCGTAAGTGGTAGGAGGGAAATGTAAACGGTTTCTGCAATTTTCGACAAGTTTCGACAAGTGTCCCGAAACTTTTGGCCCACAATGCAGGTACCGAGTCTCCCATTAAAATTTTAATTTATCACCGTTCGTCCAGCAAATTTCTTCTCTCGACTGTACATAGTGTGCACGGGAACACCTAGATAGCGCAAAAAAAAAAAAAAAAGGAGAGAAGCGGGGAGAAAAACGGATAAGGGAGAATGATAAAAAGTAAACAGATGAAAGGAACGGGGGAGAGGTTAGAGACCTGTGTCTCCTCTATTGCATGTCGCGTATTCAAGCCTGGCAAGCAATTTTCTATACACGATAGGCGGATCGTTCGACCGGCGAAGTTGGAGATGAGAGGCTGGATAGCGGGGTGGGCCAGCGAACAGCGTATAACGAGAAAACTGCCAGCGATATCCGTCGGACGGGTGGAATTTCATTTTTACGTCGCGTCGTATATTTTGTCCCCGCGGACGTATCTGCTTTCGATCATCGACCGCCCGCCCACGGATCGTTTATCATTAGCACGCGACTCTTTATTATCTTTATCTTTTTAATTCGTCGGCAGAAAGCTGGACGTGCGACCTATCTTTATTGCCACTCGCGAGGCGGGGTGGCAATTAAAGCGTTAATGGCTTGGTAAAACGGCCAATGGCAATTGTCGGTCGTTGATGCGTTTAACGTTCGATGTGAAATAAATAGGAGATCTCGTTCTTCCTGTTATCTTGATAACTCGTTAGTCACACCATGTGACACATTGTGGGGTGAAGAACAGTGGTCAGAATTACGTTTAAAAGTTTCGAGTGTATTTCATACTTATCCGATAATGTCCTCGAAAGGTGGTCGATCTTGCGATTACAAAAGCTACCGTAGTTCTTAATTCCTTCTAACTTGACAAGACAGCGAAGTAGCTTTTATTACGTTAAAGTGTCCAGGTTTGGACGATAGTATTATAGAAGCTACTGTGTACATCGTTCAAAGTAAGAGTGTCCTCGCTCTCGGACCGATTCCCGTCCGTTCTGCGCATAGACAGAGAGCGTAGCAAGAAGTTAAGACGGAGGCACGTCCCATGCGCGAAACGAGGTTACTCTTATTTTGAACGGTGTACAGTACACTTTGCCAACATTCAGGAATAATCACAGCTACCTAAAGAAACACTCACCTTTCGGCGGATTCACGTGCAGCGCCGACCTGTAAAGGCTCTCCTCGTCGTACCAGTCTGCGTTTCTCAACAACGTCTTCGCCGACATTAAACAGACGAGGAGAGCAGTGGCCACCAGCACTGCCCTGCCTCTCCTCCTCGATCCGTGTCTTCTAGCTATCCGATAGGAGCCAGAGATCGCGGCTCCGGCTATCAGACACGCGCCAACGCTCGGTAAGTAAAGGATCCTCTCGGCTATAACGAAGCCCACGTAGAAGAAGAGATTGCTAGCCGGTAGGAAGGGAAGCACGAGGAAACCGAGCGATGCAGCGACGCCGCTGGCAGCCGCCTGTCTGCTGACGAATCCGTTGTTCGCCGTCGATCCGCTGTTAGGCCTTTTAGCGCAGTGACAATCGCCCATCGGCCCGTTGTTATTGTTGTTAGCCGCGCGACAGCCGTCCGTGTGACACCCTCCGGTCCTTCTGCCCGCGCAGACTGGACACCTGGACGAGATGGACCGAGGATACGGTACGAAATGCACGTTCGACTCTCTGATCGGTCGTCGGAGCGTTCGAATTGTCCAGATCGAGGCTCCGATCAGCGCGGTGTACAGACAGGCTGACTCGAGATTTCTCGAGTCTAGAAGACTGGTGATTCGTGGTACGGAGTCCATGGACCAGTCGAAGCTCAGCGTACTCGGGCAGATCAACATTTTCGCACTGGCTGCGGGTAGATAGAAGAAGGTCAGGCCGCGGGTCATGCGTGAAGGATGCCTCGCTGTTGGATTGTCAGCGCTGGCGAACTCTGGCCTGGTACCGGTGATCCTTAGCCTGCCTAGAGCTAGCAGAGCTAAACTTCCGGAGACTATACCGATGCTACGAGTTCGGGTCAGACCGCAATTCACCTGGAACAACGGAACAGAACAGGTACAATATTAATACCTATATCTATACTCGACATACGTTTCTCGAGGTTATTTCGAGCAAGTTTCCAACGCTCGATCAATCGTCCGTTCTATTTCATCCACCCTCTCTCTCGCCGGGTGGTGTATTTATAAATGGAGGAATACATCGGTAACCGGTAATAAGATTCTCCTCTAGCCTGAGAGCGGTTGAATAAATGAACAGCGGCCGGTTTCGATCGGGGGCAATTCATCATTGCCCAATGGCTGTCGCCCGTTATAAAGTATGTACACCGTTTTTAATCGAACGAAATGGAAGCGTGGACAGATACGAATCGGTGGGAAATGAAGATTAATTAAGGTCCTCCACCCTCTTGCCTTTGTCCGGTGTTCGATAACCAACACACACACACACACACACCCGGACGTACACTCGTAATTAAACGAGGGTGGGAAGCGAATCTTAATAATAATTTCGACGCGTTTTCGGCCAAAGAGCCCGCCACTAGTCCCTCGTCATCCGGCGTAATTTAAACGAGACGTCCTGTGTATATCCGCTTGTCCAAACGATTCCGAGCAAGACCAACGAAGAGAACTGGGTGTGTAGGTATAGCTGCGGGCGAAACCTTCCAGCCGTTTCACGTCCAAAACATTAATTTCGCTGGGTTTTCGCCGGTTTTTAGCAAGGAGCATCGATGCTCGGCTTTATTTATCGCGACGCGTTCATACGTCGCGCTTGGTCAAATGGCGAGACCGTAAAAAAAGCAGCACGTTTGCAAAAGCCTGGAGGCAGGGGGAAAAAGAGGCTCGTCAGGTAAAAGAATACCGCTGTGGCGGTGTTCGTGGATGTCGATTCGCGCCGCTGCTCTTTTTACCTATGTGAAATGCTCGAGGGATGGAAAGGGAGGACGCGTTCCTCTGCGAGTGTAAACAGGATTGAAGAGCGACATGACCGAATCGAATATAGACGACCGATGGAAGGGGACCGTTCGTTCGATCGGACTTGACAAACGAAACGACGATGCATCTCGCTGGGGTTTTTGGTCTACGAATTTTGCTCGAAGGAAGGTTGAGACGCGGAAGCTTTTGCTTCGTTTCGCGGTGTGCTGCGTGAAAGGATAGCGAGAGAATTAAGAAAGAAAGACAGAAAGATAGAAAAATAGAAGGATAGTGTAGGCATTTTGGGACGGTTTACGGTTTGGCCTGCGCCTCTTGGCGAGTGACAAACACCAGACGGGAGTATCCATCGGTTCGGCCCAGCGACATATCTTTGCCTTTCGACGAGAGTCGGTTCTTAGCTTCGGTAATAGACGGACTACTTTGCACGACATCCTGATTAGAGTAAAGTTCATTAGACCACCTATAGATAGAAAGATAGAAAAATGGACACAGCAAGTCTCTGGTAGCATCGATAGACTGAGAATGGAACGAGGAGTCTGCCGACAAAAATGGAAGGCAGAGAGGAGAAGCCGGGAAAAATAGTTAGGCAAGGAGGAATATAATTACAGTGGGTTATGAAAAAATCGTAGAAGGAAAAGCTCGCGCGGCACGCTTAATCGACGCGACGCCCTCGAGAGCCAGGCGTTCCGCGCAAATGAAAAGTAACGTCGAAAGCTTTTAAAACGAACCGTGGCACGCCGGTAGCCGTGGCGTAATGCGAAAGCGACATTTTAATGTTAAATTGCGGGGCCGCGGAAGAAGTCGCGGCGATAATTGCGCGCTCTAGAATTGTAGCCCAGACCTGGCTTTGTTGGCTGCGATGCTGTATAACCCGCGATCGATTCGTGCGAGCTTTCTCTCTCTCCCTCGCCGTTTCGCCTTTAACGATGCTTTTAATGTTCACCGCGAAAAATGCGACGCGACAGGATGCGCGCGCGACTAAATCGCCCCGCTTCCGGCAAATATTTTAATCACCCCTCGCACCTCGAGAGAACATTTTCCACGGAGAAGCGAACGTATCGTCGAGACT